AAAGGTGAGGATAATCAATATCTTTTGTCTGACCATGGCAGCCCTAGAGCTACAAAAGTCTTCTTCTGTGGAAGATCAGTCCCCTGCATCTTCTAGGTATAAAAACAGACCTAAAAGAAATAAGGATTTTTTCCCTAGGTCACATGCCTCTGGAACAATATTTGTAGGACACAGGAGATTTCTACACTTCTGTGTAGGAAACCCACACTTCACAGAGCTCTGCTGTTTGGTCTCTCAAGGGCTTCAAGGGTTTTCTGGAAGTTCCTGATCAACACTGTTGTGAATCTAAGGGAGCAGGGCATTCACATACAACCTTATTTAGACAACCCGTTGGTCCGGTCATGTTCCAGGTCCAAATCAATGCAGGACACAGAAAAAAACCCATAGAATGCCTGCAGAAACATGGTTTTCTAGTGAACCATCAAAAGAGCCCTCTAGTGCCAACACAGCATTTGGAACACTTGGGTGTGATAATAGACACCAACAACTGCCTGTATCTACTGGGCAAGAAAGTAAAAAGCCTGAAAGAAATGTCTTCAGCGATCATAAGGAGCAAATCCTGGTTGTTAAGGACACTTACCAAATTGATGGGGCTGTTGATCTCAACCATAGATGCTGTCTGGCAGGGAAGCCTACATTCCAGGTATCTTCAATGGCTACTGAGACCCTTTCAACATCAGATAGCCAAAAAAGATTTTCCTATTTGCATCCCTCTCAAGGTAAAGTACAGGTTACTTTGGTGGACAAAAATGCCCAGCCTGCTGTATTCCAGAGCTTAAGCAGAACTTTACAAACTCCAGCCTATTGGGGCAGGGAGCCACCTTGGACGAGAAACCGATACAGGGTCACTAGCCCACGGTGGAGTCTCAATTACCGATCAACCTGCTGGAACTATGTGCCATACGCCTTGCCCTTATCCAGTTCAGCCCTCAGATAGTCAGATGCCATGTCCTGATTTGAACAGACAACATAACAGCCAAAATTCACCTGAACAAGCAAGGAGGCTCCAAGTTGTCAACACTTGTTGGAATTTGCAAATGTCATTCCCTTCAGTCATGAAAGAGTTAACTTGTTTGTTTATGCTAATTCTTAGCTAGTTAGCTTAGAACTAATTAGGTGTCGGAGCTGCAGTGGCTCAAGTGGTTAAGACGCTGAACTGCAGGCTGTGGAAGGTCAGTAGTTCAGGAGTTCGAGACCCGGGTGTGCCGCATGATGGAGTGAGCTCCTGTCTCTAGTTCCAGCTCCTGCCAACCTAGCAGTTCGAAAGCAAGAAACTGCAAGTAGATAAATAGGTACCACTTCGGTGGGAAGGTAACAGCGTTCCGTGTGCCTCGGTGTTTAATCATGCCGGCCACATGACCACGGAAATGTCTTTGGACAGCGCTGGCTCTTCGGCTTTTAAACGGAGATGAGCACCGCAACCCTCGAGTCGGATTCGACTGGCTTTCGAGCAAGGGAACCTTTACCTTTACCTAATTAGGTGTTAAGCACATATTTCCCACCAGAGAAAGGGAGTTATCATTCCTAATAAGATAAGTTTGGACATTACTGTTGGCTGATCAATAATTTGATTGGGGTGCATGCTGTATGTCACGTCCACAAAAGGTGGGGGCTTTGGGGTAATCTCTCCTTTGTTCCCACACTCATTTCAGATGACGCAGGAGTTTCAGCAACCAAACTAGTATGATGTAAGACTAGGGAGCCAGTCAGGATTTTGTTGTTTTAACTCCATGTAACCCTTCCCTATTTTCTAGTAAAGTTTTCTTAAAGTTAATTACACATGTGTGCTGTGTTGCTTTTTACTCTGCTAAGTATCCAACAACACTATAGAAGTAAGCCTTCCAGACAGGGATGGGTACGAACTGAATTACAAACCTAAATTTGTCACAAACTTGGCTCCGTTCACCGTTCGTGAGCCTCGGTTCGTGCCATCTCGCCCTCATGAGCCCTGTGAACCTCCCAGGTGGGTTTGTGTGGTTCGTGTCAGCAGGCATGTTGGTGCTGTGGGTGGATCTTGGAGAAGGCATTTAAAGAGACCGCAGTCTCTTTAAATGCCTTCTCCAAGGCAGCTGCCACAAAACCAATGCAAGCCAATTCAGCATTTCGGCAATCCCTTTAGCTCAGTGAAGTTCAAGTGGCAAGTTCACCCGGAAGTGGTGAACTCGCTGCTTGCAAAAGCCATTTAAAAGGAACGTTCCCCTTAATGGCTTTTGTGAGATCTCTCCCCCCCATTCTGCTGGCCTTGGGGAGCCAGTGCCAGCAGAAAGGAGGGAGGGAAGAGCCACCAATCTCACAAACCGAACCGGTTTGCAAAGCAGGGGAGGTTCATCCTGGTTCGTTGGGACCTTATGAACCACGAACCCGGACAAACCTCCATTTTCCCGGTTCATGCCCATCCCTACTTCCAGATACTGCAGTGGGCAGAGAGAAATCTACCCTCCATGAAAGCAGAAGACATAAAAGGATCCACCAACATCCAGGCAGACTAGTTGAGCAGACAGACCTTACAAGAGGGAGAACGGTCTGTCAAAAAGGATCTGTCCCAGTTGATCATAATGCACTTTGAGAGACCTCTGGTGGATCTGTTTGCCTTGCCAACAAACCACCAATTGAAAAGGTTTTTCACCAGGTTCTTCCACCATGACACCAAAGTGACCGATGTTTAGCCTGGGAAAGAGAAGGGACATGATTGCAGTCTTCAGATATCTGAAGGGCTGTCATGTAGAAGATGGAGCGGATCTATTCTCTCTTGCCTTTGCTTTTTTCAAGCATCGAGAACTATACAATTCCTCCATGAATGGGAGAGGACAGCCAATAATCTTCTGGGCTGTGATGATAACTCTCTGGAGTGCTATGGAGCAGAACACATAAAAAGATCCACCAACATCCAGGCAGACTGGTTGAGCAGACAGACCTTATAAGAGGGAGAATTATGTAGGACTATCAGCTATGCTCCTGCAGCGTATATGGGGGTGGACTAGATGACCTGCATGGTCCCTTCCAACGGTAACATTCTATGATACTCTGACATCCCTGTGGCCTTCCCTATCAACAGTGTTACCTCAGTTCCAAGGTCTTGCTCTCTCCAAACACCCTCACATCAGACAGTTTCTCAGTGGCACAGCCCTAAAAGACCCTCCGCCAATTCAGATTTCGCTTGTGGAAGCTTAACACTGTACTCTTTGCCCTCACAAAACCTCTGTTTGAACCCATCCAAGAAATATCTTTAAAATGGCTGAGGATGAAAGCCTGGTTTCTGAAGTGACCGCCTCAGCCAGAAGAGTGTCCCAGCTGGGTGCACTGTCAATCAAACCCAAGTTATGCATCTTTCTCAAAGGTAGTCTGGAGAACCGACCCAAAGGTCTACTTGACATTCGATAGATCTCAAGAAATCTGTCTCCTGTCCTTTTGTCCCAATCCTGTCCATCCAAGGGGAAAGACATGGCGTACGCTGGACGTAAGGAGAGCCCTCAAGGCCCACTTATGCGGAACCAAAAATATTAGAAAAACAGATTCCTTGTTCATAAATATTTCCCCACCAAATGTAGGAGGAAAAATGTCTAGGTCAGCTGTCAGTAGTAATATTAAAGTCTGTATAGAGTTGGAAGGGGGCATAGAGACCATCTAGCCCAACCCCCTGCCCAATGCAGGACCAACCTAGAGCATCCCTGACCAATATTCATCTAGCCTCTTCTTGAAAGCTGCCAGTGTACCACTGAGGCATAAAAGATGCACTAGTTAGTCATTCCGACCGGAATTATGGCACACTCGTTCAGAAGCGCTGTGGCTAACGTGGCCTTTGCTAAGCAAGCATGCCTCTGCAGGAGAGGTTTGAAAAACTGCCACATGGTCTTCTGTTTCAACCTTTTTAAGGCATTACAAAATAAATGTCTACCACTCAGCTGATGCAGCTTGCAGACAGGGTAATTCAGCATATCTCAAATACAGATGAAGACTTTCCACCCCAAGTACAGGGACACTGCTTTGGGAGGTCCCATCACAATGTCCTCCGCCTCAGAGGGAGAACGGTCCATTGGACACTTACCATGAAGGGCCCATCTCCTCTGAGGACAGGAGGACATCCTGTCCCTCCCAAAGTTGTCATAGTATCAGGTGCCTTCAACTTCCTGTCTTAGTAGCCCTTTCCTTGTTACTGTTCAATAAATAGAGTTAAGGTATAAAACAACTGCTTTCGGAGTTACCCGGACTGAAGGGAAGGGTGACTCCCACGTCGGAGACAGGGAGTGAGAAGAGCTTGTTCCTGCCTCCCAGACTGGCTGGTGGGAATCACCCACCAAGATGTCCTCCTGTCCTCAGAGGAGAGGGGCGCTTCACGGTAAGTGTCCAATGGACCTGAAATATACTGGGTTCAGACGTGTAGAGTGATCAGCTCATCGTTTATTAGTGATTTCAGCAAGTAGAAAATAAGACTAAAAATCCCCGACCGAAGCGTTGTGGACTCTGTGTTTAATATTTTGGTTCATTCTGCTGGTCTTATGACTGTTCTTAATAAACTTAATAAAATAATTCCATTGGTTTACTCTAGGATCCCTGTCTCCTTACTGGTCTATTCTAGGATCCCTGTCTCCGGTCACCTTGGTGGATGACCTCTGCCGAGAACTAGACAAGGGGAATTTGACCCTGCTAGTTCTGTTGGGTCTCTCAATGGCCTTCAGTGCTAGCAGCTATCCTGTCCTACCAAGCAGCCTCTTGGCACTGGGACTGAAGGGGCAGTGCGTGATGGTGGTTTGACTCCTAACTGGACGGGCAGACTCAGAGGGTGTTGCTGGGGGATTCCCGTTCCGCCCCATGGCCGTTGACCTATGGGGTTCTGCAGGGTTTGATCTTATCCCCCATGTTATTTAATGTCTACATGAAGCCACTGGGAGAGGCTTGGGCCACGATGTTACCAATACGCAGATGGCACCCAGCTCTGCCTTTCTTTTCCACCTAATTCCAAGGATGCTGTTGATGTTCTGAACTGGTGCTCAGAGTCAGGAATGGGCTGGATGATGAATAAGCTGAAAATTAACCCTGGCCAGACGGAGGTTCTTGGGGTTAGCGGAACGGCAGACCAGGGACTTCAGGTCTCACCTGCCTTGGATGGGGTTAAAATCCCCTTCAGAATCGAGGGTCACAGTTTGGGAGTGCCGCTTGACACAGCAGTCACTTTAGACAACCAAGTGGCCGCCGTGGTTCGGAACGTGTTTGCCCAGCTCCAGCTGGTGCATCAACTGCATCTGTTCCTGGGTCAGTCAGACCTAGCCCCATTGATCTGTGCCTCACTTACATATACATTGGGATACCGCAATGTGCTTTACCTGGGGGCTACCCTTGAAGAGCGTTCAGAAGCTACAGTTAGTGCAGAATGCGGTGGCTGGACTGCTGGTGGGGGCCAGCTACTGGGAGCCAGTGACCCCCATCTTACGGCAATCGCACTGGCTCCTGATCTGCTCCCAAGCCCAATTCGAGATGTTGGTTTTGACCTTTAAAGTCCTACATAAATCAGGACCAGGATATGTGATGGACCACCATCTTCTCCCAAACATTCCTTCCCGGGGAATTACGATTGCGGGGAGAGGGCCTCCCGACTGTCCCATCACTGGTACGTAGAGGAGAGAGGGCCTTTTCAGTGACAGCCCCACGATTATGGAAAGGAAGTGTGCTCCTGCCCCCCCCCTCAGTTTTGAAGGCAGCTGAAGACAGTTTTATTTACGACTGTGCTTAATTAAAATGGAGCTGCGGTGGCCCTAGTGGTTAAGACGAAGACGCTGAACTGCAGGCTGTGGAAGGTCAGTAGTTCAGTGGTTCAAGACCCGGGTGCCGCAAGACAGGGTGAGCTCCTGTCTCTAGTTCCAGCTCCTGCCAACCTAGCAGTTTGAAAGCAAGACATTGCAAGTAGATAAATAGGGACCACTTCAGTGGGAAGGTAACAGCGTTCCGTGCGCCTTGGTGTCTAGTCATGCCGGCCACATGACCACGGAAACATCTTCGGACAGCGCTGGCTCTTTGGCTTTGAAACGGAGATGAGCACCGCAACCCTAGAGTCGGACTCGTCTGGCTTTCGAGCAAGGGAACTTTTACCTTTACCTTTAATTAAAACAGTCCTACACTGTGGTTTTAGACTTTTGGTTTTGTTTTCAAGTGTTTTTAATGTATTTTATTAAGATTCTAAGCTCCTTTGAGTGCCATAGCTAATAAATATTTCAAATAACTAAATAAAGCCCAAATTCTTCCTGGAAAGTGACCTGAGGGGCACCGCACATCTTGCAGGATTGCTGTGAGCATACTTAGGTCGATATTTCCGCAACCTCATTCTTCTTTCTCCCATTCTGCTCTCACAACAATCCTCCGAGGTGGGCCCGAGGTCACTCAAGGAGTTCGCGCGGCAGAACAAGAAGGCCGACCCGGTCAGATGAGGGCCTCGCCTGACCCTCCGCCCGCTCTACCCTGCTGCCGCCTGGGGCAAGAGAAGTCCTTCGGGACGCTCCAAGCCCTCCAGCACGCCCCCTCC